TATGAGCTACTAAATTGCATCCTGCTAAAAGCAATTGAGAACCCTGGTGTGCATGATGAAAAAAAAAAACAGGTCTTCTGCTTCAACAGCAGTGGCCTTGCTTCAGAGGATAGCATCTCTTGTCTGTCTTCTCCCTTGAAACAAAGACATTTAAAGGGTTATTTGGTCCAGTTACTGAAGGGATACAGCCAACATTTGAACTCTAGCCGCCTAGAGTGGTCCATCAGTCCAGATAGTCCAGTTACTGAAGGGATACAGCCAGCATTTATTTTGCAGGAGGAGATTGCAAAGACTTCTGTACAGTACTGTACTTTAAAACCATTCCAAAGCTTCACTGTGTGTCTGTGTGTTATCCAGTTATGGGCATTACCCATTAACTGTCCACAACAGAGGGCACTTACTGAGGAGTAAGTCAAATAGGGGAGGGATAAACTTAGTATAAATTTTAGATAAATTTTCCCCATGCTTTCGTGTTAAAGGCCGGTGAAATATAGGCAAATTGTGGTGAAGCAACCCATAATGATTTTAAGTCAATTTGTGGCAAATACAGAGATCAAAATAGTTCTTCTGGAAGAACTAAATGTTATCCTTTTCCTGAGGACAAGATGTAAGGTTTAAAATTTTAGGGTGATAAAGCCATGATGTACCGGTACATTATATCATGGCTTTAGCTCATGATATACATTAAACAACCACAATAAAATCAGCTTGCTCAGAGACTGTAGCAGAGCATGAAGAGATGTATGTTCCCAACATCTGGATGACAATGACTTTATTACACAGCTGCCAAGTCTTTTTTTAAAGAAAAACCCAGTCTACAGTCTCTTCCTAAAAAGGATGAAAGTACTAGGGCTTTTCTCTTGCTTTATAATAACTAGACTTTGCCCCTGGTATGAATTGCAGATGATAAGATATAATGAAAATGTTGGCTTTCTTTTTTTGAGGTTTTCCCCCTACTCCCCTGCACACACACACTTTGTATCATGGTGTCTAAAGTGGCTTTTTTTTTAAAAGGATCAGAGTGGATATTCTGCATAGGAAGCATTCTTTCTTTTTAAAAAAATAAACAAGAATATTCTGGTGGCATCTTAGTTAAAACAATATAAAAGGGACATCCAGAACACAGATTAGCTATCTCTTTTCTTGATTATGTTGCCAGGAAGGAGGGTTGGATTATGTCCGTTAATATGTTCAAAACAGAGCTCTTCTTTTTTTTGCACCATGGTGTTTATTCTGCAGTTGTACCTTGTGTGATAGAAGCTTTTTACTCATTGTTATAAAAATACCTGCAATGGACTAAGTGTGTCCTAAATGCCTTACAAAGAGTACTGTGCATTTGGAACAAGGAGTCTGATGCATTAAGGAAGGTAGCTTAAAAGGTAAAGCCTGTGGAAGTTGTGTTTCCTGCTGTGTCGGTTCCAAGAGGAAAATCAGTAGGACTGGAGTTCTATTTCCGTGTTTGTATCTCTCCCCCACCAGGTTTCTGTACTTTTCTAATACAGTACAGTACATCAATTATTGAGGACCTTTACATAGGAAATGCACAACTAACATTCATTTATAAAATCAGGGAGAAGAAAAAGAGAGAGTTCTTGTAGTATTTTACTGTATCTCACAGACCTTTTTATTGTAGTTTATAATACATGAATTAGAAACGCATTGCATTACACAATCATTATATGGTTACTAATCCACACTAGGGATGTGGTGGCGCTGTGGGCTAAATTGAAGAAGCCTGTGCTGCAGGGTCAGAAGACCAACAATCGTAAGATCGAATCCATGCGACGGAGTGAGCTCCCGTCGCTTGTCCCAGCTCCCGCCAACCTAGCGGTTCGAGAACATGCAAATGTAAGTAGATCAATTGGGACCACCTCGGTGGGAAGGTAGCAGTGTTCCGTGTCTAAGTCGCACTGGCCACGTGACCACGAAGATTGTCTTCAAACAAAATGGTGGCTCTATGGCTTGGAAATGGGGATGAGCACCGCCCCCTAGAGTCGAACACGACTGGACAAAAATTGTCAAGGGGAACCTTTACCTTTACCTAATCCACACTGGATTATTGGGAAGGTTCCCCTGTTTCCTTAGACAAGCATTTTAGTGGTATTTCTGCAAACTTCAGGGTTCCCGTAAAAATGCTGCTGCCACCCTCATGTCTCCATTTTGGGCTCTGGTTTGTTTTGTTGTGTCCTGCATTTTGACTCTTATCCAGTCAACACTCACCGCTTGTGTTCACTTTTAGAGGGACTAATGGCTTTCTTAATTGTTTCTGAGTGTGAGAGAGTCCAATGGCATGGAGCATATAGTCCTGATTTTTACTTCCTAATGTGCTGTTGTGCCACATATGACACAATTGGCTTAATGTGCATAATGGTTGTTGTGGGTTTTTCGGGCTCTTTGGCCATGTTCTGAAGGTTGTTCTTCCTGATGTTTCGCCAGTCTCTGTGGCTGGCCTCT